TAATTTGTTGCAAATGAATCTTATTTAATCCGATGTAACCATGCAAGTGATTCTGCGAGTGACTTTTTTTTTCATTTATAATTATTTTATGTATCTTGTTGGGGAAAATATACTATTGTCTACTGGTTCAAGTTTGTTGGTAAAATGCCCAAAATAAATGGAGTATTGTCTTTTTTCTAACATTGAGACAGAGACTCACAAACGATAAAGTTTTAAAGATACAGTAATATTGATCCACGTAGAAGACGATTAGTAACAAAACTTCAGAGCCATCATCCTCATCCATACGTGTCGAGCTTGATAAATCAGGATTACTTTCGTTAAGAAACTAAAATTTTATGATTGGTGGTTGTTTCGACTATTATTTATCTGGTCACGACCAAAAATAAAAATAAAAACTTTTGTTGTCCGACCGGTTTAGGAAACCGGTCTTTTCATGTACAGTAGTTGACTTCTTATCGCGCTAATTGTCAATTTTAAATAAAGAAATGAGACGAAAAAACGAAGAAGATTATGCTAATAGATAACTGTATGTGGGACCAAATATGGGACCGACAATTGATGATGGACCATTATATTGACGCCACGTATCGTACCCCGCCACGGATGGCGAATGATCATTTTAAAGCTCTGGTCTGGTCTGGACGCTCTTTATTTTGCCCTTTTAATTATTATTAACCACTTTTTTCTACTATTTGTTTTACATTTTGGACTTTGGAGTTACATACTTCGACTCGAATCTTTATATATTTTCAAGATTTGATCCCAAACTTTTCTAGGTTCGAAATTAATACCTAATGTGATACCTATTATACATATCATCAGGCATGCCATGCTTTAAACATCTTCGATCTGCTTATATTTAAAACCATTTATGTATTTTAAATAACGTAAATAATTGATTAATCGGAAAACAATAGTTAACCATATCCATATAAAATTAAATCTTTCACATGTCGATTAAAAAAACTAAATGTTTAACTAACTCTGATATAAAAAAAAAAAACAAAATATGGTAAACTACACATCTGGTACATGTACCATTTCATCTAACCATGATGGAAATCATAAATTCGATCAGGAAAGTTCGCAAACCCAATCAAAAATGTTATAAAACTACGAAGGACAAGGTCGTTGGGAATTAAAAATAAAAAATTGGGATGCAAATTGTAAAGTAATAAAATATTTCGTCGAAACTTCAGTTTTGGAAAAAAGAAAAACTCATTTTAAAAGTCCCTTAAAAACAAAAATTAGCGTATCA